AAATAAATATTTTGTAATTTATTTTGAATTCTATTCAATCTAGATAAATTTAATATGCCTTTCTTTCATCTCTGTGTCGCAATGGATAATGAAGTATTAAATTCGTACATATTTTGCTCCTTTTAATGAGCTAAGGTGCTTGCCTACTCTGGTAAAAAGGAGGCTGAGAGGCAACCTCATGGCTCCCTCCAGCTTCCTGAAAGGAACACATGGAGAGGGAGGGGCTGAGCTCTGCTCTCTGCAATCCAGGGACAGAATGCCTGGGAATGGCTGGAAGCTGCACCAAGGGAGGTCAAGAACAGGCATTAGAAAGCATTTCTTTACTGGGAGGGAGGGTCAAACACTGGACAGGCTTCCTAGAGAGGCAGTTGATGTCCCAAGCCTGGCCCTGTTGAAGAAGCATTTGGACAATGCCCTTAATAGCATGCTTTAGCTTTTGGTCAGCCCTAAAGTGATCAGGCAGTTGGACCAGATGATCATGGTAGGTTCCTTTCAACAGACCTATCCTCTCCTATCCTATCCTATCCTATCCTATCCTATCCTATCCTATCCTATCCTATCCTATCCTATCCTATCCTATCCTATCCTATCCTCTCCTCTCCTCTCCTCTCCTATCCTATCCTACCCTACCCTATCCTATCCTACTCTGTTCCAACAAGGTACAGGGGAACTTTCTGCCTACACAGGGGAACAGTGGTGTTTGTTTACCAGGACTTCAGCAAAACATTCAGCACCATTTCCCACAGATATCTCCTGGACAAATGGGCAAGACATAGATTGCATGGTTGGTCTATGAGATGAGATTTCTCTAAGAAATTGTCGAATAACCTGCATCCAGAGCACTGACCAATGTATTTCACTCAGGCTTGCAGCTTCTCAGAGGTGAGATCCTCCAGGGGTTGATACTGGGTCCCACATAGCTCAACATCTTCATAAATTATTTGGGATGGAAAACACTCTCACCAAGTGTGCTGACACTAAACTGCTTGGTGAGAAGGACACATGAGAAGGCAGAGATATCTCACACAGAAACTTGGACAGGCTGGAGCACTGGGTTAGAAAGAACTATGTGAGGTCTAACAAATTCAGGTGCAAAATTCTGCACCTGGGATGGAATAACATTGGAGCACAGAACAGATGAAGGTGTGGGAGGACTCTTGCTGAAAGGGATGGTGAGAACAATCATTTACTGGAATAATTTCCCCAGGGACGGGCTGAGTCCCTATTTTTGGAAGGTTCAACATGCAGCTGGACAGGGTATGGGAAAATGTTTCCAGGCTCCCTTTCCCACAAAAGGCTGGAGCAGATTATCTTTCAAGGTCCTTTCCAACCCATGTTGCTCTGTGATTCTACAATGCTAAAGTCTTGAATCCTTTCCCTGTTTTTCCAGGAAAATGATGCTAAAGATTAAAGAGCTCTAAAGCTGAAAAGACGGCTACAGAGAGCTCAATGGCCATGGTTCTTTACATTGTGGTTCTTTTCCATAATCCAATATTTTCTAATCTTTTTAACAGCCCTTGCTAGTAGAAATTAAACCATTAAAGATATCTGGTCTTTCTTGCATGCCTTCTTTTATCAGTGATACGTTGTAATTAATGTATTTTTACTTTAAGGTCATTTGGGGGTTGATTCTTCAATGTACTGAATGATGGTTTTCTGTCTAGAGTAAAGTGGATAGTAGTGGCACCACTTCCTTTTTAGTAAGACTTTTAGACTACAACTTTTGGAATATCTAGTGTTCTTGGACTTTGGCTTCTACTTACGATAAACATATATAACAAAGCACATGAATCACAGTAAATCTGCTCTTTGATTTTATGTATTTGAGAGCAGAAAAATGGTTTCACATGAGTAGGTTAAGCCAAAACACAAATCAGTGAGGGCAGCAAGCCAGAAGCTGATGAATCTGGCACAATAGTCCAGAGCTTAAGCACTCCTTCATTTAGAGGGAAAAACTCATTTGTCTCCCTGAAGCTCAGTGGTTTCAAACTGAGGATTGTCCTCTTAGTGAGTGAGAATATCAAATTATTTGCTTCAGTGATGGAAGGTTGCCCAGAAATTCAGAGATCTTTTCAGCAGAAGATCCTGAATTAATTCAAAAGAAAACATCTCAGCTTGTCCTCCTGCTGCATTTTTCAATCCCTATTTGAATTTGAAGGACTTTGCAGCTGATCCTGAAACCACTAGAGTTTATTTTCAAACAGTTTTCACATGTCGGGAAGCAGTTTTTACACTTTTTGCAGCTTCGTATTAAGTTCACCCAAATTAAGCAAGATTTAATCCAAAAATGCTCTGAAATTTGTGATAGTTTATTAGTTCAGAGTGTTCTGTGTTTGCCTTTAATAAATAGTTTTATGCATTTAAGAGTTTTTAAAATAAGACAGTTTTTTAATGACATGAGAGCTGCCCTACAGTGAGTCCAGTGAAATACCACTTCACAGGACCTCTTTAATACGGTTTTCAGGTGGTCTGTGCATGCATATGCGTACACCTGAGAATTTCCTAGACAATTTTTCTAGTGCACTCTGTACTTACCTGTTTCCATATTACCAACACAAAATCTAACAGTGCAGTAGAGTATCAAAAATTCAAGAAAACAAGGGTCAGCTGTAGAAAATTCCACATTTTCACAACTGCTTGTATACAGTGCAGCCCCCAGCCCTGGGCAACTCTGAGACATGCTCTGTTGGTCCTCCTCAAGAGCAGGCTGCAAGTTTTTCTGCGGAGACCAAACACCCTTTTCCCTGCAGCCACAGCAGTTAGTGGAGGTTTGGTCCTTCATTTTCTTTGTCAATCTTGTCCAACTTGGCAAGAAAAGGAGGTTCTTTGTAAGCAGATGTTATTGTTTGCCACTTTAAAATAAGTAATCATATCTAATTTGTATTTTCTGTTCGAGGGAGAGAGTGTAGACATGTTCTTGCCCTGAAGGATGCTCAAGAACACAAAGACATGAAGTATTTCCAGTGTGGTTACAAGACCAATATTTTGTATCAACTTGAGCAATGTAATTTCCAAATAAGATAGTATTTATGCCTTGAAATTTTTAAATCCTGGTGTAACTGACCATAAAAACCACTGTTTTTTAAAATAAAAACAGCAATATATTATGAGAGAGCAAGTCCTGGTGGAAGAACGCCAACCAACCCCAGTTGTAATTCATGCCCTGGGGTTGTTGGACAAAGCACTTCTCACAAAACCAGGCAGTCACTGAGGAAGGTGAGGCTGCATTCTGCTGTTACTGGCGTCACAGTGGGAGGGAAAACTCACACGGAGGAAGGTCCCACGTTTGGTAAATTTAAGAATATAGTGGAGTGGGAAGAACATTCTTTTGGTGGTGCAGGGTTAAGGTTAATGCAATGTTGGTAATCATGAAAATCTACCATCCTTCCCTGAGCAATGACTGACACATACTAGGTCGAGGTCTTCATATACTCAGACGTGATATGCCCTTAATAGTTGTTTCTGTGAACAAAGTACATAAAAAAGGAAACTATGTTCTTTAAGTACTTTTACTGGTGTTTAATACTATTACACAAAGCCACATTTATTTAAAGGTTTTATATATGTGTGTTTACTCTTTATTTAAGTATTTACTAAGTATTTAATATTTGGCGTTCTTAATCAGTTTTGATGTTGATTTGTAAAGAATCAACAACTGCTAGAAAAATAAAGAAAATAATGGAAGTATTGTAAAAGGGCAAATCTCCACTCATTGCACATTCTCAAAGGGTGTAGCACACAAGACAGTCTCCAGGAGCTCCCATCACAATTACTGTGTTCAGCAATTAGGACAAATGAGAACTAGAATCATTTCCAGCAGCCTTTCAGATTGTTAAAACTGAATAAAGGATGATGAACAAGTATATACACAAGATACAATTTAAACAGTCACATTCAATCTGTCAAGGACACAGTGAAAAAGAATTGCGTAACAGTATAGAACAATCAAAATATGTATGGAAGCAAATCAAAATATTTAGGACTCATATGGCAAAAGAAAACAGCTGCTTCTTTATTGAAGAGAATTAGAATTAGAATATTAAGGCTTGAGTTTATTTTAAGGAAAAGTTACTTGACTGAAGCACAAATTCCCTGCAATGTACGGAGTGGGAATGTACGTATAACCAGGGAAGCAGGCAGTGATCTTCACTTAGGAAGACCAGAGAAGGCACCACTAAGAGCCCAAAATCAGATCTGCAGCAGTCTATCTCCAGAGAAACTTCAAAATTAAAGGGTCAGGATGAAGATAAACTGTCCTCGTGTCAAGTTCTGACCTGCTGCAGCTTAGATGGGATTTCCAGTTAGAGATCTTGCAACTTCTAAAGTGGGCATGGCACAAAACATTGCAGATGTGTGGAGCTGAGTTCTGCACAAATCACACAGCAAGGAGCTGGCTGCCAACCCAAACTTTCTCCCAACGTCTTCCTGCCCAAGAAGACAGGAATTGAAAGGAGGCACTGGCACTGGGCATCACAGTCTTTGTGCAGGCATGGCAGCAGAAACTCTTGCAGAGACTGCATGGCTTGAGGGCAGCAAAACCCAGCCAGATGGCTGCAGCTTCCTCATCATGCAGGGAGAATCTACCTGGTTGGGAAAGATTAAAGGCCAGAATATGGAATATCTTGGCATGGGTTCTCATATAAAAAAATGTGCCTGTGCGGTTATTTCAAATGAAATACTTGAAAGAGTATTTCAATGAGTGAATGACTCATGAAAACATGAACAACACCATCACAGAACCTGAGAAAGCAATTAAGTACAAATTCTGAAGCAGCCACTACAGTATTTCTTGCTTAGACTTTAGCATTATGTAGGGTCTTTAAAATCTAATAATCATGGAAAAGAAAATGTTTTCCCTCAACTTAAAATTATTTTCTCCTAATAATGCAGGAAATCTCCCAGACCCAACCTGCCACCACTTAGAAACCCAGGTGCTGTTTGAGTGTCAGCTGCCTGCTCCAAACTGCCATCAGGAAACTGGGAGGGTGGTTTTTCTTTCGCAGGGAAATAGGTCACTGTGTCACGGTCCATGTTCCAGGGACTGTGCTTCTGCCTGCTAAAATTCCGAACGGATCAAGATTTCTGTCAGACCCAAGCTGCCACCACTTAGAAGCCTGGCTGCCTTTGGAGTGACAAACGCCTCCTCCAAACTGGTATCAGGAAAGTGGGACGGTGAGTTTTGCTTCACAGGGAAAAGGGTCACCCTTCATGTCAGGGTTAGGGGTGGTGCCGGGATATTGGGTTAGGGTTAGGGGTGGTTCCGGGGGAGTGTGAGGGTTAGGGGTGGTGCCGGGGGCTGGCTTTTGTCAGTATTAAGTACAGTGCTGTGTAGATGTGTCTTGTAGCCCTTTGCCTTTCATCTGGCAGGCAAGTCACCATGCAAGCTCACTTTCAGTCATAGAGTGTAAGTGGAAATCATTGTGGTGCGGCGTCCGGACTTGAGAGCGGTATTCCGCAGCAAATCTGACCTATCCGCTTGGCCGTCTTGGAACTGACTAGTTTCTGCTACTCGCAGGCATATCGAATAGGTGTACTTTCCATGGGAAACTCTCAGCAGATGTCTGAAACGACGTTTTACCTTGACGTTTACAAAGCCGGCATTCGGGAGGGGCGATGCTGGGAAAGGTCCCGCCCCTCACAGGGGCGAAGGACCCGTTCGCTCTCCTCGCGGGACTGCAGCTCCCCGTGGCTCGCAGCCCGGGACTACAACTCCCGGCGGGCCGGGGCGGACGCGCGGGGCTGTGCGCCGGGGTAGCGGGATGTGCGCGGGCAGCTGCCGGCGCCTCTCCCGCTCGGGACGGAGCCGCGGGAGCGACGCTGGAGGGGTGAAGCCTCCGTCCGGCCGCCTTCATGGAGCTGAGCAGCGCGGAAGGGGTGTCCACCCGGTTCCTCGGCCTCACTCAGCGGTACCGGAGGCGGGGGCTAATCTCGGGTGGGGCGGGGCACGGCGCGCTGCCGACCGGCGATGGCGGAGAGGGATCAGGGCCCTGATCTGGGGCACCCGGCCAGCGCTGGCACGGACACGGCTCAAGGGCTGCTCGCAGCTCCTGGGTCAGGAGCTGCTCTGAACAGGCACCCGGAGATGCTTCAGCCCGGACAGAGGCCACCGACAGCCCAAGAGTCCCCCAGTGAACAGCTGGCATTTCCTGGTGGTGGCAGCACGGGCCGCCTGCAGAGGAGCTCAGCCAGCGATTCCCGGTTCTCACCTCCCAGGGCTCCCACGCAGCTGCCAGGTATGTCCCGGCCTCCCCGAATCCCTTCCCTTCCAGCCTGAGGCCATCATCCAGCAGCAGCCTTAAAGCCAAGGAACTCTTTCTCACAGACATTAAATCCCAACCAACAGCCCGCAGAGATGCCTTAAAATCAAAGGTTTGGGTGGGATGAAGTTCTGTTTAGATGAAGGTGGGAGTTTTTCAGGGAGCCAGCTGGAAGTGCAGAAGGGATGGAAAGGTTTTGTAGGTGGGTCCCACTGGAGATGCGCTGAAGGCAGGGATGTGCATCCCCTTCCTGAGGGAAAAGAACTTGCATAAGTCACTGCTGAGGCTCTGGAAAGAACTGAAATTCTGCAGGGAGAGATGTCCTCTCGTGGCCCCAGGGACTGCCTC